AAGGTTGGAAGACCTCTGAGATCCCCAAGTCCAACCGTTAACCTAACTGCCAGGCCCACCTCTAAACCACGGCCCTAAGCACCACATCCACACGTTTTTGAACACTTCCAGGGACTGTGATTGCACCACTTCCCTGGGCAGCCTGTGCCAGGGCCTGACCACTCTCTCCGTGAAGACATTTTTCCTAATATCTAACCTAAACCTGCCCTGGCGCAGCTTGAGGCCCTTTCCTCTCGTCCTGAGCAGAGCCATCCAGCCTCACAGGCTTCCTTTTGTTGTAACACTGGCCATGCTGGTTTTTAAGCTTACCGTGATGTAAGAAGAGGAGTCATCCCGTGATCTCCCCGCACACAATTTTTCTACAGCATCTGCATCATATTGCTCCCCTTCTGCAGTAGCTTCAGCTCTCCTGGCTGCTTGCCCCGTGCAAAAACTGCTCATTTCCTTTATGATGTATTGAGATTTTACGAGCAGGAGCACAGCATCTCTTCCAAAGATTATTTTATTTGCTTATATCCTGAAAATCCCACCAGGAAAAAAGAATCCATGTAGGGTAATTTAAAACTGCTCCTAAAATAATGCCAAGGCTGTACTAGTCTTCTATTAAAATTACGTATCAATCCCAGCTAAAGCAAAAAGTAAGAGTATATTCTGCCCTCGCACACTAAGAGTCTTCAGGAGGCGGGGGGTTGTGTTTTGTTTTCTTCTTCAGGTCTACATCCATACGTTGAAAAAACCAGATATTATTTATATAGGCTCTCTGTAGACATGTTGAAGCTTTGCAGACAAGGAGATTTTATAATTTAAGACAGACGCACAGCAAGGGGGGACAGACAACAGGTAGGCACGTGTGAAGAATGAGACGATGGGATCACACAAGGGGCTTACGGGATGCTCAAGTCATTAGTTCATTCATCTATAGATGGAACATGTGGTACGGAGCAGAGGGTTTGTTTGGGGGGTTTTAAACATCACTCTGCTATCATTTAGAGAGTGTCAGAGTGATGAGAGAGAGGAGCAAAGGGCGCCGGAGAGGAATCCTGGGAATGGGCGCGAAGGGCACCGCTGTGACCCCGCACGGCTGTGCTGACTCCAGCCCCCTGTCCCACACCCACCTACCGCTGATTTCCACCCTCCCTAAGGAAGGGAGGGTGACGGTGGAGCGATCCTTCAGGTCAGCAACTTATGAACTTCCCAATCTGGAGGGCGCACCCAAAGTCCGGGTTCGTTATCCGCCCCCGCAGCCGTTCTCCCTCCGTTTCTCTAACCCCTACGGGAATCCGCTGCGCGGCTGTTGCACTTTTAGGTCATCGCCGCATCCTGGGGCGGCGAGATCCCCGCTTGGTTTCGCATGGATGAAGGTGAGCTCCCCTTTGCTCTAAGCCAGTTGCCTCCGTTCAATTAGATCTGCCCTAATCTGAACGCACTGAGCAATAAAAATTGCTTCCTATTCATTTTCTTCACCCCCACTCGTAACTGCACAGACCTTACGACTGCACGCAGCAGTACTGCGCGTGGGGGAAGAGAGGATTAGAATTGCAGATGCCTTTTCAGAGAAAAGCCTTTTTATTAATTGCCATTCAATAGTGGCAAGTGTGAAGTGCTAAACTTGGGCAGAGATAACCACATAAAGCAGGACAACAAACGACTCGACGGTAGCTCTTAAAAACTGGACCTGCTGATACAGTACGTCCGACTGAAGAACAGGCAGTGCTGTGCTGTCACTGAGAAAGCAAGCATCACACGACTACGCACAAACCAAATCCTACAACGCCCCCGAAATACCCCTTCTACACCATTTCACTGGTGACCGATTGCCTGCCCCAGCTTAGAAACCACGCTTATCACCAAAAAGACCCCAACCCCATCAACTGGAAGGACTTCAGAGTAGGAAAGTAAAAATGTTAAGACGCCTAGAAAGCACAACCCTTCAGGATGGACTGGGGCTACCTGTCGTACAGGGGACAAGACCAGAGAAGAACATTCCTACAACCTCCAACCTGCAGAAGACTGCTGCAAATCCAAGAAGGAATAATCTCTCTTTTGTGCCTGACGGGTCAAAAAGTAGTAGACCTAAAAAAGACTTTTCAACCATGTAACCCGAGTTTCCTAGAGACGGAAAGACAGCAGTACCTGGGGGAGGGCTAACATTAGAAGAGGTTAGATAAAAATCCATCAGGAATGACGCAGCTGAAGCAGAACTTGCTTGAGAGAAAAAAAAGATGGACTAGGTGATTCCTTGAGGTTGCCGCCAACCCTGAGACTCGGTGATCCTTTCCCCTTCGCACCTCGAGTTGTGTTTTCCAAGTTGAACCATCCTAGTGTACAATCAGTCTTCGACCTTTTAACTTCCACTGGAACCTTTATGAGACGGAACAGCCAGACTGGTACGTGGTTCCCAAGACCCAGCAGCACCGTGCGTTTGTAGGTTTGAGACCAGGTCAACATAACACTGCTCACTTCCTAACGAGGAAGAACATTTGTGCGGCACAAGATATGAGATGGTTTAAGATGTATAACACAGAAAAACCCCAAAGCAACAAGATTTTCAATTGCCATAGTGAAGCTATATAGTCAAAAAATGAATAAGTAATGGCAAAAAAAAAAAAGGTTTGGTTTAAAAAATGTTATGATTTAAATATCATCCAAGTTAAGAAGATGCCTTTTTGAAATGTATCCCATGTATTTTCAATTACCTTACTTTTTTATCCATATATAATTATTAATCGGTGACCCAGCACCTCTTGAAAACAACACAACGCTGCCTAGTGCAGAAACTCATTGCAGAGGAGCTCCTCTGCTGATCGAGAAGGTCAAGTTCCCAATCGGTGCTAGCCCTTCGCAGGGCACAAAAGCAGGACAGAAAGCTTAGCCACACCATCCTGACCAGGCTTTAAGTTGACTCGGGGCCACCTGAAATACAGCGTTGCAGTACAGAGGGAAGAGGGCAGCTGTCTTACACAGCAATGGGGGAAGATAACACATCCAGCTCGTACTTAGCACGTGCGCTCTTAAAACAATGGAGGCTGATATTTCTGCAAGCATGATATTATACAAAATACCCCACGGCTAAAAGCACACGAGTGACGATACATACTAGAGATGCAATACGGAGGGCATTTATTTTATTGCTGGCTGCACGTATGTTCAAAGACCAGTGCTACTGAGAAAAAGACCAAGATCAAACAGAGAATGAATAGCTGGAACAAAACACACTCTCACCACTGGACCCACGGATGATTCCCTGGGGAAACCCTTACAAAGAGGGCTCAGTATTTCTCAAATAAGTTTCTGTGTATATTTTTCCCATGTGCCGTTTTATAGATCACATAGTGATGGAAATCAAGAGAGATCCTGAGGGTACAGAGATGGACTTCACAGTGCGCCACCAACAAAGTAGCTGTTTGTAGAATGGGAAACAGCAACAAGCCTTTGCAAACAAACAATGTGGAATTCTTGGCTAGAAACAATAGCTTAAAAAAAAAAAAAAAGACTTCTTTCATGGTATTTCCAAGGCCTCATCCTGCAATCAACTGCTGGATGAATCCTTGCCATGGAAAACGCCGCTGTAATAATACGGGTGCTTCTGGTGTCACCCCCACAAAGGTGTTCCTGCGCAAGTGCGTCCGTTTGTGGGATGGAGACCTGGGTGGGCTAAGCCAGAAGCCTGCTAGGAAATGCCAGAGGTAGCTTTAAATGAATAAATAAATGTATGAAAAGCAGCAGTCAGCACACTGAAGGTCGAGTTCTTCCTTCTTTTCCAGAAAACTTGCTTCTCTGAGATCCCCCCCCCTTATTTACAACTTCACCTTTCCTAATGCCCATTGAACGGTCTCCAACACTCCTAGGCTCCCAGAAAGGCCCTTCTCAACTGGCCAGACTCCACTCAGCCAGAAGGACTTGCCGTGCTGCTCTCTGGAGACAGTCCGTGCCGTTTTGGGTGCCACACAACTCAGCCCCGTTCGCTAAGGGACTGTCCTGGGAGGCTGCTTTCGGCTTGCAAATCAAGGTTGCACCTTGCTGCCGCAGCAAGGGCTGGCACAGCGGTCTCCCCTGCCTCTGTGGTAACATGTGTAGGAAAATGAGGAAGGTTCTCCGACCTCTGACACCGATTAAGTCATTACTGTGCATTTTTATATGCCCCAAATTGTGGAATACTTGTATTTTAAGGCACAGCAGCCAAGCTTCAACTACAAGCCCACCTGGCCCCTACACGTGGGAACACCTCCAACCTCTAGGTCCTTTTTCTCCCCAGAAACCTGCCTAGCTTCCTTCCCACCACTTATCCACATCCTGATCCTACAAACGGCTTTTTCCACATACTACTAAACACAGTTTTTCAAGAAATAGGTAAATTCCACCTTTCTCTCATCTTTCTGCACAGCTTGAAAGGCCACAACACTTGGAAAGCCCATTCCTAGCTGTAGCCATTTTATTTCCTCCACTCCCAGCTCTAACCGTTTTACCTTCTAGTTAAGCCAACCAAATCTGGAGCTGCTACTGAAAAAGAATCAAGCTGTGCGTTTGTTTACACAGTCTTGCAGTATTTAGTGAAATCAGTTCAGTTATATTTCACTACTGTTCCTGCTTACACCCGAACACCTTACAATGCTCTGACGTTCATTTGCTTTTTAAATATTAACATTTCACTTGCAACATCAGGCAGAGTCAGCTCTGCATCAGACCTCTTGGCTGACTTGTCTCAGACACACCACTACCCTGTAACGAGAATTCAATGTCAGATGGGGCACTAGAGCAGATGCTGCTATAGCAGATGTACTTCTGACTGCAGAGCTTATTTTTGCTTAAGAAATTGGTATAAGGTCTACCAGGAAAAGCACGTGTTTCCTAATGCAGAACAGGCTTAGCTTTAAGCTTTCTTGTGCTCTTAACGTACCACACTGTTTCAGTTTACCCAAATAATGGTCAAACTTCAGATGACTAACCTATTGCTACAGGGAGAATGAAGATATATATATATTTAATTTATTTTTTTATTTTTTAGATGGAAGAGAGATGCTCTAGACAAAAGGAGAAAAGGAGACATCCACGTGGCTTCACAGAATCCCACAGTGGTTGAGGCTGGAAGGTCCGACCTGAAGCCATCTGGCCCAAGCCCCCTGCTGAGGCAGGGCCACCTTAGAGCCGGATGCCCGGGACCATGTCTAGATGGCTTTCTCTTACCTTCAGTTTTTGAGCTTCTCCTCTAACTTTCAGCAGCTCCGTGATGGAGTCCACAAAGCCCTGGTAATGGAAGTTGCACATTTTCTCAATCTCACGATCGTGGTTTCTGATTCGTGCTTCCAGTTTCTCCATGAAACGACCGTGTTCTTCCCCATCATAGACAGACCTAAAAAGAAGAAGCCAACATTGGTCAAGATTCCAATACCTGTTACTGTCACTACTTAAAAGAAATATCCAAAATATGAGCTTTAAAGAAACCCTCCTGTGATAAAGGGATAGTTTTGCTTTTTATTGGCATATACCAGGCACCAAACTCAGATTTGAAAATCTTTCTATTCCAGCCTTTCTTTTTCTTTTTCCACCTGTCAAACACCAGCTCGATGTTGCCTCAGAGACCGCAACACGGCCGAGCCAGCGCTGAATCATCTGAAGCAAAGTCTTTGTGCTCTAGCTTTGAGCTCAGCCATCTCTGACCCCTATCTGCTACCACATGCTGTCACACTGAGCACTCCTCTTGGACAATTTACTGGGTGTTCTTCATGCTTCGGGGGTAAAATCTACAATGGAAAAGTATCACCTCTACGGCTGCCAAAATCCATTCCCCTTCTCTTCCCTAGTTTTGCCAGCACAGTTAGCAGTGTCGCTGAACGGCCAACACAGCTGAAGACAGCCCAAACTGATGAGGATACCCCAAGCCAAGACACCGCGCGTGCAAGCTGCAGGTAACAGGTAATCTATGCTACAACCAAACAAAAACACTAGTGTTAAATTTAAGGGTGGAAGTCAAAAAAAAATAAATCTATCCTCCCTATTTTCTTAAATTCCACGGAACTGGGAAGAGAAGCTTGAATTGCCACCTCAAACCACCTTTTGTTCTGCCCATTCCCAACCCATGCTGTCTGGTAACGATGATTATTTCCAACCGTTTTGTAAAGCAGCCTAGAAGGCGACTCTCTCATCCGCAGAAAGAGCCGCTGTGCAGAAGCGATAGATCATGACTGCTAGGGGATTTTCAGGGGGTTGGTTTTTTATAGTAAACATAGATATTTTCCACATCCCACCCTTAGACTTGTCTTCGTGAAGTTTTAGTATTTTGAAGAGCAGTGTTAACTGCGAAACCTGAATTCTCTCCCAATCCAAAAAAAATTAAGCACACTGTGAGCTGTATGGAGTCTGAGCTTGTACTGTGTCAGAAAGAAAGGCCAAATTAATTCTACACTGGATTCCATGCAGCAATTAGAGAGAAAAGATGGGGAATGACAGAGCTGTAACAAGCTATAAGAATAAAAAAAAAAAAAATTACAAAAAAAAAAAATTACTAATCACGGCAGTGACAAGCAACACTTCAGAAAGAGCCAGAACTAGATAAATCCAACCGGACACGTTAAATCTTTCTATCTGCAGAAAGCGATGTGATCCTTCGGTGTGATCTGTGCTCACAAGTCACTTTGGAGAATCCCACCTCTGCAATCCATAAAGGTCTCAAAGTAACACAAAAAATACCAAGACGGGACTAGAAGCTGGAGGAAATCTACTTAATTCTCATTCTTTAAAACCTGCCCTAGCAATTTCAGTTGCACAGTCTCAGTAAACCGTTCTCAATGGCAAAACAAAAATGCCAAATCTTCGTAAGCCTGTTTCAAACTCAATGTAAAACAACACGGTCGCCAAGAGCAGAAGTCTTCAAAGGCGACCACACTGCCTTCTTTATTCCAAGGTAGAAGCTGTTTGGTGCTAAAGGTGAAAAAGAGATATAACCTCCTAAAATTATATGAATGCCACCACTAGCATGATGCTAGTGGTTTTTCCTTACAGCTTAGCAGAGTTTTGCTGGTGAAACATGAAAGTTGGAGGCAGAGTGCCATCTAGTGCTGCACAGCCCCGCTGCAGGGTCTCTCATGCAACCCAACCAGGCACCTCCGCTCTAACGAACTCTGAACTCAAGGATAACTCACATACAACAAGCAGATAAAGCTAGACAAGTCGTGTTTTCATTCAAGTATAAATTAAAAAAAAAAAAAAAAAAAAACCAGAAAACCCCACAACAGTAATTACGGGTGCCAAACAAAGGCGTTTATATTCAAAGGAAAATACCATCGGCATTTACAGAGGCATCTATTAACGGAAAAGAAACTCAAAATTACTTACAAACTCTAGGAAGTTTCCTTTGCAGATGGTAAACCTAAGACATAAAGGCCCAATGACTACAAACCTTTCATTTTTTATTTTTTTTTTTTTAGCCAAACTCTAGCATAAAAAAAAGTTGGTGACAGGCAGCAACGAAACCCCTGCATCTCAGGGGTCAGCTCTAAGCTGACACTCAAACAAACTCCATACCTTCCCTTCTGCGCTCTCCTATTCATCCACAACCCTCCCCCCAACGCAGAACCAGCATCCTGCACTTCCATCCTCCCTCTGAAACACAAGCGAATGGGCAACAGCCAAGCAAGTCCCAGACCAAAGCACGACGCACCCCGAAGTTGCAGGATGTCAACTCCAAAGTTACAGGATGTGAAGTTCTTGCTCTGTATTGAGCATCGTCATCCAAGCAGACTACGGTGACTATGCAGTGACTCTTAGCTCAAAATAAACAACGTAGGGACTCGGCTTGGTTGCAAGAAGAACAAATCTATCCTATATTGATGTGATATGAATCACATCAAAACACACGTGAAGTCCCAAACTCCACCATCACCATCTTTGGTTCCCTGGCTCTGGTAGTGATCCACCTTCCGCAGCTGTTTCTGCCGCTGCCCGAGCTACAGCATCCCTCTTGGAAAACCATCCTTATGTTCCCATATCCTCAACATTTGTGCACTGTTACCTACCTAGCCATTGCCAGCTTTCTCAAGACCAACTCTGGTTCTCACCCGACGCACTCAACTGAGCACCTTCATTACGTATTTCTCCCTTTTCAGGATTACCACATCTGGGGCATTATCTTCCCACTTCTTGCCCACCAAACCTTCGGGACACTCACTGCCTTGTTCTGGATCTACAGGTCTCTCCAGCTGCTCCCCCTACCTCATTTCTTCTGCACATCCACTCTGCTCCTAATAACAGCTCTCCTACTTCAAACGCTAATTATAGCCTGATCTGGATCTTCCGTGAAATGTCCTGAAGTGACCAGTAATTCAGAAGACGTTAGAAAGTGATGCACAAAAAAACTGCTAGAAAGAAAAAAAATCTTACGCATATATTTATACCCACTAATAATCACAACAGCACACCATGCAAAAATAAAGTAAGGAAAACAAAAATAAAAATTAGAATTGTTTTGGGCTGTTCATTCTCTTGGTTGTAAATAACAAAGCACTGTGACAATGCTATAGAAAATGATCCTTGAGGCTGCTTTTTTGTTTTCTTTGCTATAAAAAAATTGCTGGTCAGATAGCTTTAGTAATAAGCCTCCCCCACAAAAAGCCTTTCAGCTAAAAAAGTCTGAGAAAGACAGGTCTGCCCAGCATGCACTTATCTTACAGCTCCGGAGCAGGCTGTAATTCTCCGATTGAAGACTATGCTCAGTGACAGATCTGTCTGGTTTAAATTTTTTAAAGTACACTCACTAAACAAAACCATTTAAGATGAGTTTTAAAAGTTCTTGGATTGTATTGTTAAGTTTCACAATTTCTGCATTCATTAAAAAAATCCACTTCATTTTTTTTCAAAGGTCAACTGGAAAAATCTTTCCAGGAAAGCCATGACAGGCAAAGGCATCAAGAGTTCCCGCCTGTAGCCTTGCAGTATTGCAGAGTTCATCCCCCAAAAGAGGGGCAACCAAACCTGGCCCACACCAAGCGGCCAAACTGTTAACAACGGGGATGCCGCAGGCGCGGACTCGCGGCACAGCCGGATGCTCAGGTGCCTTTTCCATTTTCCAAGCAGCAGAAAGCGAGCAGGAGCTCACACAGAAGTGCGACGTGTCGATCATGAGCCTTTCACATCTTCATACTCCCTCCGCATCCCAGAGCCTCACGCGACTCTGCCTGTACTCAGCCCCCGCGTTCTTGGATACTCTACTGCATTCTCGATCGCTTCATCATCCACAAGAGCAAAAATGGGGGAAAGAGCAGAGGTTTGGGGAATGCAGCCCAAGAGGAGGCTGAAAGGGACAACAAGCTCAGCTACAAATCTCCTTAAAACATGGTCAGAGGCAGGACATCTTGGGCCCTGCCACCAAGCACCAACTCAACCTACGTTCTCTCCAGCCGTGCCTTAGACGCTTCATCCGGCTGCTCCCAGGCTGGCAGGTCCTATGCCAGACACCATACACACGCTGAAGGAATGCCAGAGGAGCTGAATGTATAAATTAATGCTAGAAAATAGTTAGGAACTGGCTTTGCAGGTCCTCCCTACGTCTCATGCTCAACTGGTTAACAAGAGGGCTTCAGGCAGTCCCGGAGAAGGCCAAGCCGCGAGGCTGACCCTGCAACTTCATTCCCAATGAGAGCTGCCTGCAGGACGGGGACTCAGAAGTAACCTAAATAACTTCAGCTGAAAGTACAGAGGAGGGAAATCTCTGGGGGCGAAATGAAAGAGATCTGGAACAATGCAAGGAGGACATTCTGGGGACAGTGGAACAGAAGTGACTTGTTTCTGTTTTCAGTTAATAAGTGGAACAAATTCCTGAGTCTGTTGTGGACTTCAATTTTATTTTATTTTTTCCCCCCCTTTAAACTTCTGTTGTGGTTTTAATCCCTCAGAAACATTTTCTTCTCATTAAGCTACATAAAAGCATTAGCAGTTTGTTTAATCTTAGTCTAACTTTTGTAATAAACAAATTAACTACTGAGCAATGCAAAAAAAATAAAAATTCAAGAGTGGTGCAACAGAAAAAAGGTCAAAGAAAGTTTGCAAGACTAATACCTGTTTAATATCTTAACTGTCAGAGTTCACAGCTTCAAGCCTTGTGCTTCACAAAGTTTATCCACGTCCCGACACAGCATTAGCAAGCTGTCCTCCAAAGACACCCTGCTTACTTGGCCTGCTCCACCTGAAATTACCCCAGTGGAAGAGCAAGTGTAGAACTTGCTTCTTGTTTTCATTCTGCTAATTAAACAGAATTTAAGCCCACTCGGTTTTACACATCACCCACACAGATTTACATTTATGACATGAACACAGAGAAAGAA